AATTCAGAGCCATAGAGGCCCACCTACGCGTGGGCTACCACCCAGGTTTAGGTCACTCTTTTCCCTCAGCACTTGAAAAAGATACGGATATTGGAGTGGGGGTTGGGGTGGTGGGGGCTGAAGGAAGTAGCTGTGATAGATAGCCATTCGTCACCCTGCCTATCTCACTCTGACAGATGGGGAGTGCAGTGTGCCACATAGAGGAGTCACTGCCTGTAATGACATTAGAGGCACAATGAGATCTGATACACATTTTTTCTGCTCCCATTCTGCCTGGCCATCGACTCGCTCCTTTGCTTGATCCTTCCCCTCCTCTCATTTCTGCTGGTTCATCTCCATCCATCCTGACAGGAGATAAAGTGCTGTGTCCCTCTACATCCAAATAAAGCACAAACTCACATAGATGCACCCACAGACACATTTATACCGGCACACGCGTAAATAGCTACATCAAAAGCAGAACGAATACACCTCCAAAAATCTACACATCTGAAAAAGAAACAACTTAAATGTTCTTTAGGAAACAATCTTCTACATGACAGACATGCTCAAGTAAAAATGGAGCACTGTGAGTGTGTACTGACATTCAGATTGTATTTGGAAAACCATGTTAAAGCTCTTTTTTTCCTCCTCCTCTTCAAGGAAATGGGAGTTTATTTAAAAAGAGAGCGTTTATTTAATGTACCATACACCTCCTAAAAGGTTTACTTACTGCAGTGTAATATGTTATTTCAAATCCTCACAACCACATTTCCTTGGAGGATAGGGGATACTGGCGTTATATATTTATTTTTTTCAGGACACATGCTATTACCAAATGTGTTGCAGATGTACCATGAGCCGAGGCTGTGCTGCCGAGGTGGGGTTTCTTGGAAAAACATCGCCAATCGTGTCATGATAAATCACCTTCCCCAATTTGCTATAACGTGTAGAATTAGGATTGCAGAACTGCGGCATCAGCAGAATTCTACACACGTTGCATTTACAGGCGTGCCAGTTTCATCTGAACATGTCCTCACAGTCCAATTCTGCAGAAGTGATCGGATAAATGATTGGGCGAAACTTTTGTTCTTGGAACTAGTGTTCATCTGCACTTCTTCTACGTTTGCCTAGTTGTTTTCTAAAGTGACGAATTAGTCTCAAGAGTGAGTCAAGCTAAAGGTCCTCTTCCCACCCCCCCTTGATTCAAAGGAGTCATCTTCAGTGTATGTCCTCAATAACAAAGCGACATTAACAAGCACCCTAGAGACCGTCTATTAGAATGTGAAAAAGCGCCATGTGCTGTATATTAGTTTTTAGTGACTAAACACTTGGGAGAGAGGCGACCTAGAATCAAGGCTTGTGGTGCACTGAGTGTATATGTTCTCATCGTCCTCTCAGCTCCACTTCTGAGACTCGGAGAGAGAGAGTGCTCATTAGATCTATGTGCTGAATCTCTGCTCCCTCTCCATCTCTCCCATCCTCCCCCAACCTTCATCCCTCTCTCTCTCTCTCTCTCCGTCCGTCTGCTTAACAGATGGGAGGGTCGTGGGTACAGCTCTTCCCCTCCCCCTGGAGAGGCCTGGTGCCTGTTCAAAAAGATCCCTCTTTATGCTTCTCTCTATTTCCCTTCTCTGTTTTCCTTTCTCCACTCTCCTTCTCTTTCATTGTCACCTCTCCAACTCAAAGCACAGAGAGTTGAGACCCAGGTTATAAAACAAGCAGAGGGGCAGCTGTTGTCTTTCTGTCTGTCTCGGTGCCAGCATGCTCTCTGACCCTAGCAGTCGCTCGCTCAAGCTCCCTTCCAGTTACCAGGCGTGTGTGAATGTATGCATACCATAAGTCAGACTCCGCAGAGAAGATAAATACATTCTGAGGTGTATTCTTCATTGTCCACGGCTTATTCCCTCTACCCCTACGCCTTACTTTGGGATTAGTTAATTGGCTTAATGTGACCAAGCCTGTTAGGTCTTTCTTTTCCTCTGTCTGTCGTCATTTCTCCTCTTGTTTCTTTCTCACCTCATTTGCCCTCTCAAGGTCAGGTGTCAGTGTCAGTCCCCTGCGAAAAAATTCCTGCTGAGGATTACTACCTTGCGCCACTTGACCGTGTTCACTAAGCAGTGCTTGTTTCCTGCATTTCCCCACCTTTTGCTGTCTTAGCGTCATGAGGCTAAATTGGATTGAGTGATTCAGTGGTAATCTGTTAAGTTAACTGATGCTCTATCCACCACGAGGGGAAGGAGAGGGAAGGCAGCCCGATGAGGAGGTGGGCACTCGGTCCTTATCCAGAAATTGCCTGGCACTCATGTGGGACGGGGGCGGGTGTGAGGAAAAGTGGGGGGTGTTGGCGGAGCGAGAAAGGGGGGACGTGGGGAAGGGATCGTTGTGTAGGAGGAGGTAGAGGAGGCAAGAGTGAGAAGGGATGGGGAAGGAGGGGGTGGCTGAGGAGGGGAGGCGCCGACACGGGGCTAAGCGGCAGCAGAGCCTCACCTCGGGGAGCGTTGGCTGGTGCTGGGAGCCAAAAGCAGGGATTAAATGTTCAGGACACGGGCTTAGTCTTAGCGTTAATGTTGCGTAAGGCCTAAGGTGTTGCCCCAGCGGTTGTTGACATTGAGAGGTTCAGCTCGCTCAGTGGGCTGTGGGAGGAACGAGGTGGAGGCGGAGGCCAGGAGGCAGGGATCACCAAGGTAACGCCTCCTTGTTTGGAGCGGTGCCCGGGCTGGGTACTGTTGAGCACAAAGACTGGGAGGGGATGCTGCTGTCAGCATGTGATTGAAGTATGCCGGCTTGATTGATATCCTTGTTTGGCTGTCTTGTGCCAAGCGCCTTAGTGTTGGCTTGTAATCCTAGTTTGTCTGACACGATCCTTCTTTGTTTTCTTCCAGGGGGCAGCTCTTTGTTTTTCTGTCTGTGGATGGGTGTGTTTGCCGAAGCAATGCTAAAATATTTTGGATAGCCTCTTCAGAGCTGCCACAGATTTATTTTAGATATTGTTGTTATTATGATGGTGCAGTCCGGCTGTTGTCCCAACTGCCAAACGATGTGTTTATGTTTGTTTTTCATTCTTCCATAAGTGGGTGTATTCCAAACCATCAACTCAGGAAGTTTTTTGTCATGAATTTAATCATTGTTCAAATTGTATTGTTTCATTTTTTTTGTTTGATTCTTTGTGTATTGGAGGTTTTTGGTAGAGAAAATCCTAAAGAACATTTACCAAATCTTTGTTATGCATATGGACTTTAAAAGTACACATACTTATTTTAGTCTTAGCTCTAACTAAACTGAAGTTTAAACTAACAAATGCTAGATTTTGAAATAACAAATCGGTAGTTCACAGCCTGTGTTTTCTGTTGAAATAAAAAAATACAGTTAATCTCTACTGCTACAGGCCTCCGTCTGTCACTAAGAGACACAGCATCCCTAGATGTCCCTATTACGCACTTTCATTATCAATGTCCTACTCTCCAGCACAAAGAGGTCAAGTGCATAGCAATGTGCTGCACTCACCTCAGGGGTGTAGTGCTTTCTTTTGCTTTCTCATGCATGTTACTCAATAAATACATGGATTCAGGTTAGGTGAAGATAAGGAAAAAGGAAATGCATTACAATATGCATGCATGTGTGCGGGAATGTGCAAAAGAGAGAATATGAGAGAGTGAAGAAGAGAGCAAGGGTGCATGAGAGAAAAGAGAGAGAGAGTGATCGAGAGAGAGACTGAGAATGACATGTCTTTTGGTGAAGCGGTGTCGTCTTCCACATCAATGTCTGATGCTTGTGCTGCCAGGTGCCGGAAATCTGGTTCAGAAAGGAGAGAAGAGAGAAGAAGGGGAAAGTAGAGAAAAAAAGGCAGGGTAGATGGAGGATTTTTTTTATGTGACGGCGCTGACAGCTCCCCTGCATTGCACTGAGCTTAAATAATGGGATGCTCATTTGCATAACGAGGGACGTTATCACCTCTACTGTCAAAAGAAAACACAACAACAGTTCTTCTGCTCCTCCCTGAGATAGATTGGGTTGGCCTACTTTAGCACTCTGGAGAGATGCACTGGAGCTCTGGCTTAGCCAAGCTCACACAAGAGCGCACACATGTGCACACTCACACACACACACACACACACACACACACACACACACACACACACACACAACACACACACACACACACACACACACACACACACACACACACACACACACACACGGATGCACGGACACACGGTAACACACTTACTCAAACTTTTTAGAGCGCAGGTTCTTTCTTTGCACATGCTGTCCAGCTCATCAGTTTCTGGCCTCAACTCCTGAACAGGGGTAAACACACTTTGCCGTGCGCTCATAAACAAATGTGTTTATTCGGATGCCCCTCAGATGCTCTCATTGACATGTCTCCAGCTGGATTTAGTTTGTGTTGGAATTCTCTTTGAATTCTGTCTCAAAGAAATATGATTTTACTGTGTTTTAAAAGATCAGTCTCTGCACTGTTCTTCTTTTTTTTAAATTATTTTGGCTTTATGTTGCCAGTATATGGCAAGACTGAACTCAGTTTTACAGTACATCTGTATTCTATCCTGCAACCATTTTGGATATGAGCTGCAGGAAGAGTAGAGAAATCTGTGTCTGGCAGTTCCACCGTCAATACAGTGCAGTTCGTGGGAAGAAACAAAATGTATTTCTCAGTCTGGAGGTAATGTTACAGTGTCGGTGATTAGAGCGTTTAAGTTAGCGGCACTTCCAAAACACTGTCAAACTCTCTGTGAACGAAGCGAGATCCTGACAGCGCTGTCTCCTCTCATAGTCGGTGCCTGGGAAAAAAAAATGGAAAAACTGATTTGCATGATATCGACAGTGAAAAACACAGCAGTTCTCACAACATTGTTGACAGATTCTTTGTCTTTCTTCACCCTCCCTTGTGGCTGCCATGATGCCACTTTTATTATTTTTTCTCTCAGTATTTTGCCATATTTCATTTCATTTAATGCTGATCCTCTCCTCTCCTCCCCCTCCCCATTTCTTTCTTGCAGGTACGGATGCTGAAATCTTTGAGTTGATTGGAACAAATAGAAAGCAGAAAAAAGACAGATAAAGGAAGAGCAGAAGATTGAAGAGAAAGAAGAAGAAGGAGGACAGAGAAGAAAGCATAAAGTTCTTTAGAAAGAGGAGAGAAAGAAAGAGACGGGGACGATGGGGAGGAAAAAGATTCAGATCACGCGGATTATGGATGAACGCAACAGACAGGTAAGTCCTAGGGGGGTGGGAGGATGGATGAGTGTGAGGGTGAGGGAGAGGAGGGGTGGAGGATGGAGGAAGGAGAAACACCCTACACCCCACATAGCCCTACAACAATGAAGGTCTTCTGGGAGTCTGGGCAATATGTGCACTGGGCGACAGAGGAGTGTATGTGGGAATAGCACAGTTATTGCTTTGGGTGGAAGACTTCCATTGGGTTATAACAGCAGGCCTGTTTCCCCTATAGCTAACAACCCAGTGTGATCGCACCAGTAGGGTTTTTATTTTCTCCAAAAAAGGAATTTGCATGAGGATTCTCCAAAACCGTTCTGCATATCACTGCTTGTTATGAGGGCTGCGGCCTACACGCTTCACACACCCAACCGCTCACACCATGCCACCCAGTTTAGGTCACTGGCAGTGGAATATTACCGGGAAGAGGGTGGTAGCACCGGAGAGTCAGGGTGGGAAAAAACATAAACAAACAACCAAACAGAGATGGGATGGTCTATAGAGACACACTGTATTGGGCCAACAGGGTGGAGATGAAGGGCAGCCTGGCAGACAAACACTGAAACTGTATGCTTTCCTCTGCAAAGCACAAGTGATACATTTTCAAACCAGCAATACTGTACAAACAATCCTGATAAAATAACACACTAGACAAAATGAGACACTTTTTAACAGCAGCTGGCATTACTTGAGAGAGAGACATAATCCATTGTGGACTGCTTGATTCAAGCAGACACCACCTTCTGTGGCAGGAAATAGATAGAGACAGAGCTCTCCCACTGCCCTGGAGGCACACAATTGATCACTTCCTGTGGCACGACTGACCACTGACACTCTGTCAGCTTCCTGGCAGCCCAATTGGATCCATACGCTGCTAACGTGGCCCCTGAATCACAGGTCAAACACGCACACAGGCACACACACCTTGTCTGAACACACAGGCCCACTTCATCGCTTCTTATCTGACATCCACAAGAATAGTCAACAACAGTTTCTCACTGTGTGCTTTATCAAACACAGTCATTTGCAGCCAGAGTAGTGACATAAAAAGGCTTAAGGAATCGATTGGGCAATACTGGAGGAGTAATTGAGACAGATTGCAACCTCTCTCATGACTGATCTCAATGATTGTGATTGCAAGTAACAAGAGGATAGTGAGAGGGGAGTGAGGATGTAAGTGTAAGAAGAAAATCCCCCAGTAATCATGATTTGACTATTGCTGATACACAGCGTGTTCATCTTGAAAACAGAGTGACTTTAGAGTGCAAAAAAAAGAAGGAGAGTGAGAAAAATACATAGGAAGAAATGTTTAATAAAGTGGACACAGCATGTGACGGCATGCACCTATGTGCTCTATAGTCTGATTCATGTGTTTTGGTTTTGAAAGAAAGACGTGCAAACAGAGACAAGAGCGAGGAGGTCACAGAGTTTCAGATGAAGACTAAAGCTATCGTGTTGCTGCAGCACCCACACTTCCTCCTTGCTGTTATCTCAGCCCTTCTCTCTCATCCCACCTTGGACTGAGCCCGCCAGTTGCACCAGGCTCTCCGGCTCCTGCGGATAAGGAGGGAAAGAGAGGGACAGGAAGGACACCTGAGGGGAATCGATGCCTGAGATATCCTGGCTTTACTTACAGAGCGAGGAGGGAGCAGAGAAGGGAGAAAGGGTTCAGGGAAAGGCAAATCAATATATCACTGGATTTTGTAATTCTGATCCCTTATTTGATAGATTACGTATGTATTTGTTTGTTCCTACTAATATGATGTCATGAAATCACGAGGAACATATTGCATACATGATGAGCAAAAGGCGTTTGGCTTCATTGCACCTACACCCTAAATAAATGACATCACTGCATTTTGTAAAGGCAGATATCACAAGACAGAGACTGACACAGAAACTCAAATTGTACTTCTTAAAGGGGAAAAAAATCAAACGGAAGCTTTGCATATTTTCACTTCCTTTTTAAGGAAGCCAAATAAACACTGGAGGAATTTGTTGCGTTGTTTTCAACCTCAGATTCTTCTCGTCAGATTTTTTATTTCTAAAACCTTTTTCTTTAATTAAGTATTTGGCTCTAAGACATTTGGTCCTATCTGATTAACATATTGATATTTTTGTAATGATCAGTGCAACATATAGGTGAAACTAGTTTGACATAATATTAACATCCAACAGCTCATAAAGTTGTATATAACAGAATATAGAACACTTCCTGTTCTAGTCCAAAATAGCAAATTACAGCTACTGTAACATTTCCACAGATTTGTACATGCTTCTTACGGCAATCCTCTTCGGAGTGGCACCACTCGGTGTGCCTGTCAACGCTACCTTGCCACCTACAGGGCAACACAGCCCCCCCCCTGCCCTCCCTGAAGCGGCAGTATCACAGTGGGCACAGGGCCTGGCTCTCTCTGGGCGGCCACTTTGGGCTGCCACCCCCAGACCCCGAAACACTTCCCCAGAGCAGGGGCAGAAGGGCCAGGCCTCCCTGGCGTTGACTGGCTGCCCGGAGCTCCGGACAGTGGGCAGCAGTGTGTGAGCCCTGGCTCCAAGCCCCCCGACCACTCAGACCCTCTCCCAGCCTCGGGCACATGAAAGGGCCCCCTGTGCCATAAACTCATGGGCTGCACACAGAGAGCAGACTCTCTTGCACCAGCTAGTACACAGAAACACACACACACACACCTACAGTACAAGATGTATCCACGTGTGTGTTTTTGTGCACACACATTAATATGAATTTGAGAAATAGCAGATTATACACTCAGACACACACTTAGATAGTGTATTTAGTGCTTTGTTTAAACAGCATAGACAAATGCTTGCTTGTGAGCACATGTACACATCTAAAACGCATCTAACTCTCTAGAGTCGGTCTTTGGGATCGACTAATTTGCCGCAATTGGCTCTAATTAGTGTTACCTCTCCAGCCAGTACACTCAGTGGGCTTAATTTAGGATGACTTGTGTGTGTGTGAGTGTGTGTGTGTGTGTGTGTGTGTGTGTGTGTGTGTGTGTGTGTGTGTGTGTGTGTGTGTGTGTGTGTGTGTGTGTTGTGTGTGTGTGTGTGTGTGTGTGTGTGTGTGTGTGTGTGTGTGTGTGTGTGTGTGTGTGTGTGTGTGTGTGTGTGTGTGTGTGTGTGTGTGTGTGTGTGTGTGTGTGTGTGTGTGTGTGTGTGTGTGTGTGTGTGTGTGTGTGTGTGTGTGTGTGTGTGTGTGTGGGTGGGTGGGTGGGTGGGTGGGTGGGTGTGTGTGTGTGTGGTTTCCCAAAGGGGAAGGGGCCAAAGGTTAAACATGGATCAGGTCATCAGTGACAGGAAGTAAAACGACAGGATCTCCTAACTCCCCCAAACAACAGTCAATATAACGTACTTTGCTGGAGAAGATAAGAACAAAAAAACAACATTATTTTTCATATCTTTCACCATATGGCGCTTCTTTTCCCTCACTACGTTAACTGCAGCGCTGACAGTGAAATAAGGGGTCTTTTTGTTTCAACGACAAAGCATTCTTTTCTCTAATCAACAGCACTGGGGTGAGAAAATTAACAGCAGGAAAATAATGAGGCCCACAGGGTAAACCCTCACCCCTGCGCCCCTCATCTCATTCCATGTTTCCCACCTTCTCGCATCTCCTTCTTTTACCACAGCGTGTGGCACTCCGCTCTGTCATATTATGTTCAGCGCCTAGAGACCTCACCTGTAAAGGGCTTACTCGGCTCTCACCTTCTCTCTGCTGTATTGTTATTCTCTTTTGCCTTCCCAGCTTCTGCCTGGTTTCTTTTCACGTTCACATGTTCTACACTTGGTTCATTTTGCTCTCTCACCTCTCTTCTCTTAATTTTCACTCACTTTAAAGTCTTTCGGCCGTCCACACGGCGGCGTGCGTTGAAGCTTCAACGCTTCTGCCCATTCACTTTGAATGGGGTGACGTCACGCTTTGCCGAACTGCATTGTGGTTCCGTCGCTTCACTTTGCTCGCTTCAAAAGTTGAGCAATGTTCAACTTTTGAAGCTTCAACGGAAGCATCAGCCAATCAAATCATATGCCAGTACAAGCTCTAGCCAATCAAACCGTGTGCTTGTGTGTCCGGGGCGGGAGATTCATGTGATTGGTTGTTGGTCGAGTTTCAGACACGCCTGCCAGCAAGCTTCAACGCACGCCACCGTGTGGACTTTACGTTAATGTTTCATCTGGCTTAGCCTCGTGTTTTTCTTTACCTGCTATAATGCTCATTATGTTATGTTTTCATTTTCAAAGTAAATGTTAGTTTTCTAAAATAATTGTAAATACAGGAATAGGTAAGAATTATATTATAAAAATATGTTTGATTTGTATGCAATCTATAGAGTTGCCATTAATGAATTCCTCTCCAGCCCCCCCTTTTTAACAATTACATTTAGGGACTGGCTCATCATCGACAGCTCATTAGCATATTTTCTCCATATTTTCTTTAGCTTTTTACTACTAGAGGCCAATTCTGAGCTGTGCTTGTCATAAAAAGACTTCACTTAGTGAAAACTGAGGTTAATAGGGTAGCAGCATACATCTATTAAATGTGTTCGGATATACAATCTGTGTGAAAACCAGATTAAACTAAATATTAGATGAAAAGTGAAATAATGTGCCTCTAGCTAAGAGTGGCAGCCTTAGTGCCACGACAAAAGTTTAGCCACCGCAAATGAATGACAACAAAGTTATTTTTGTCATTCCGGCCACTAACTTGGGCCTTGCAATGTAACATCCACTTTTTATTTTAGTCAGTGGGCATACCCTTTTCAAGTTGTGGTTTTTCAACATAAACCGGAGCATACCAAGAAGGAACCGTTACAGTGCTGTCCTGAAATATAATTATGAGTTTAGGTTAGAAGAAGAATCGAAACTGGTATGTATTTTAGGACACCATAACTCAAATCTGCACAATTAAGACACTGCTCAATCAGCTCCACAGGTTAGCTTTTAGCTACTCAAAGTGGAGACTTTCGATTTCGACTGAA